CCCCCCCTTCTGTTCTAGAATAGCCTCTACAAATCCTTCTCTATATACAGTTTTATTACATTTATCATGAAAAAGGCAAATCCGTCTGACTGTATTACAAATCGTTGTTGAAAGGACTTCATATGTGTATTTATATAGATTATATTGAGAAAAAAGATCTATCCAATGACCAGTGTTGCTTTAGAGTAGATATCTGAGGTGTTCACACTGCTTGTTTATCTTGCAATAACTTCCTTTTGTTTCTTTTTGTTTTGTGAATGAAAATAGTTTATGGGGCCTTTTTGCATGAAAGCTGCAATTTGTTGTACTTGGGGGGGCAAAAATAACTGTGTTTATAAACTTTATCGACGGGAGTATGAAGTTTTAGACTGTATCCATACCAAATTGTGGACTTTTCTGCCTTTTTCAAAGTGTTTTTGTTGTGTATCTGCAAAAAGTGTGTGTGAATTAAAATCCACCAAACAGAGACACACTTTGCCTTAAAGTTCAAGTGTGAACTTTTTTTCTGAAACAGAAACTGTGCCGAATCAGAGAAGCAGTATTACTTCAAATGCAGACTATTCAATGCCTTTATGAAAACACTGCTGGTACGACATTATGAATTTACTCATCAGCGTATATCTATCTATATATGAACATGTTTAAATGAAATTACAACACAGAGTTGTAGAAGACAATGCTATTTTTTATTTTATGTTGAAGTATTCTTTGGTATAAGTGTACATAATTTGTATCATGTATTAATTGTGTAATTAACTGCCTCCTGAACACTGCAAAAGAAGAGTTAATAAAACCTTGAAGATTATACACAAACATGTTTCTGGCATCTTTTGTAAAAAACAAACACAAAGTGTGACCTCAAATCAACGCTGAGCTTCTGCACGCATTCAAATCTGGAAAACAACATGCATTATTAGCTTAAATTAGGCAGATATATACAAAAATAGTTGCCTAGATGTCAAATACTCCCAAATATAATCACATATTATTCATTTGCATGGCATGACAATCCTCTCCCACTCATTCACTCATGGGCGGTTCTGCATCGCATTCACACAGGATCAAATTCATGGCTTCTGAGATTAAAACATTTGCAAAAAAGCATGCAAACATTATGCAAAAGGGGGGTGGTGGTTGTTGGTGGTGGTGGTGAAGGGGGGGGGGGCCTTGTACAATTCCCAGGCATGTTTCCACAACAATGCCTTATCTGCATTTCCATACTTGCACCGCTAGTCTTTGAACGCCACGTCTAACGGCAGAGAGCGATGTTTCCACGACGGTCAGTCCTCCACCTCCTCCTCCTCTGAAAGCTTCTGTCACAGAACTGAGAGGGGAGAGAGAGAGGGGGGGAGAGAGAGAGAGGGGGAGACACACTGGAAAAAGAGCAATGAAGGTCAAAGCCTGTCATGGCTGCAGGTGGCTGGTTCCCCCCCTCCCAGTACACACACTACTCTCGCTCACACACTCACATCTTACTATCACTCGGGTTCATTTTATTTTTCCTGGCACGCACACACACTTGATTCCTCACATGCTCTCACACACACACCCCCCCACCCCCTGTTGTTTCAGGTCCATCAAGAAGAAAAATATTCACTTGCAGAGAAACTCCCCGAAGTTCAGACAGGGACACGGGGGCATGGAGCTGCAGGAGCACGCTCTCTCTGCTTTAATACGGGAACATAACTTGTCTCATTGCAAGAAAAAGTGAGTTTCAGATGCTTGGTGTTACACATGTCAACATTTTACAATCTTATCTTCCTGTTTATTTATCAGGAAGTGTGCAGCCAAATTGTTTGGGAAACAATAAAACCTGTAAGCCACTCACGAAGACAGAAGCATGCACGTTGGTTTAGTTACTTGTTTATATTTTAGCTTTTAAAAATCCAAGTTCTCTTTAAATGTACTTTATGCACCTCTTTTAGGTGCACACATTACCCTATAACGACAACACATGTGGACATTGTATTACTCGTTTCTCCATCTTAAATGTGTTTTAAAAAATCTAAGTTCTCTCCTAAACTGTACTTTATGCACCTGTTTTAGATGCATGTGCACACTACCCTAATCAGGACAGAAGCATGGACATAGGTTCACTTATTTCTCCATTTCAAATATAGTTAAATACTTTGAAATATCTACGTTTTGTCTGAAAATGTACTTTAAGCACCCGTTTTAGATGCATGTGCACACACTACACATATTGGTTTGGTAATCATGTTTGGTTGACTTATTTCTGTATTTGTACATTTTTTAAGTCTATGTTTACGCACGTTACGTTTTAGACACATATGCATGCTCTATTCAAAATGTCAAGAATACGATACTGGTTAGACGTGGATTGAGTATATTAAGCCATAGTGGCCATGCTTATTGTGTGCCTTGTAATCATGACCATGTTTTGATGCTGACAAGTGTGTGTGTGTGTGTGTGTGTGTCTGTGTGTCTGTGTGTGTGTGTGTCTGTGTGTGTGTCTGTGTGACCCCTCCCCACACCACAGGGCCAACATCTCACAAACCAAAGAAGAAAAACGAGCATCAGCAGAGAGGACAAGCGACCACGGACGGCCTTCTCTGCAGAATCAATAGCCGAAGCTGCACGAGCACACTCTCTTTGCTTTTATGTGAAAGTAATTAGCAAAAAAAGTGACATCCAGGAGGTCAAATGTCCTCCAAAACAACACCACATGGAGTACAAATCACCAACACGCTGGGGAGTAAACACCTCTTGTGTAAGAACGTGCAGAATTTGAGCAAAATGCATGAAATAAAAGTGACTTTCTGCAAGTTCTCAAGCTGTAAAGATGGAAGTGAGCGCAGGATACATCAATGTCTACCTCTAAAACACAAAAGGGTCTCCCCCCCCATCCTACTATGACCTCTCCCACCATCCTCCCACCGCTCGCCCCCCCCCACTGTGTCATTTACCCACTTTTCTAAAAATGCTTCCTACGGCCAGAGTGGAATCTGCTGCTCAGAGGTGCCCGGGCTTTGTGGCGGAAACATAATTAAAGTGGTGAAAGATGTAAAAGGTGAAGAATGGGGATGACATCAGGCCAATTTCACACTTGGCACTCGAGTGGCTAGGTCCAAGCCAGGACTCTTGCCTCGGTACGCAGATCAAAGCCCACTGTCACCGCACCACTGCTGCAAAAAAGAGAGCTAAAGGGACACCTAACTATGCTAATCCCCAGGACGAATATATTTTAATCTTGTTAGAATACAAGTTAATGCCGTGGCTCAGTGACTGAACTCTTCTTGGCAAGAAAGAGAGAATTACTTTTTACCTTTTCTACACATTCGGCACGGGGTAAACAGAGTCTGGACTAACTTTTCTATACATATAGTGTACAGGAGGCTAGGCAGGCAACACTTTTCATTAAGGAGCGTCTGAACACGCAAAGGAAATGAGTATTTTGTGGACTTTCGGTGTCTCACATAGAGCCCTCCCTTCTCCAGAGCACCTTGGTAACCCTTGATCTCTCATGGATGACTGCGCAGACAATGGAGAGCGGATGCTTTCTGCAGAAGTCACACCCAGGCAACTCTCATTTCACACACCGGGTTTGAGCGACCCCTTGTAAAGAGATGCTTTTCAATAAAGGTCCTTTTTGTTCACTAGGGCGGAAACTCAGGGAAAAACAAATCTCTCCCCGTTCCCTTTTTCCCATAGCCGCCATTTCTGTTTCTCCAGGCTTTAGAGGAGTGGATTAAAACCAGGAGATATGAAATCTTACATTTCATGTGGTTTCATTGATGAAGCACAAAAAGAAAGCACTTGATTGTTCTTTTTTGGGCAGAACATTAATGAGAAAACACTGAATTAAAAGTGGATCTGTTTATAAAATATTACATTTCACACAATGACTGAATTGTTTTACTTGCACTTAAGTTATTACTTTCTCTGCACTTTGGATTTAGCTTCAATAAAACGACGGTTTTTGGTGTTGATTCTGGTGAAACAGACTAACACTAACTTTCATTATATTGACATTGAAATGGAAGCAGACATACCTTAACAAACATTTATTTTACCCCATGAAACATCGACACATCCTTTATTTTTTACTGCATTGTCATTTGCAATTAGTCTGTTGCCTAATTCATCATAAAGCCTTAATATTGATCATCATGACCTTCCAGAACATATTCAAATCGCTAAAAGAGTCAGAAATACAAAGATATTTTACATAAATCACATTAAAAATCAGCAAATCTTAAAAAACGATTATGTTTTTTCCTCATCAATGATCAAATAAACTCATCAATGAACAGAATTGTTGTGTTCCTCAATGAATTGCTAAATATTCAATAATAGATATGAAACATTGCTTTGAATGGCTTTTTCATGAAAACAACATCATGATAATACCAGTTAAAAGATTAAAAAAACACACTTAAACCTTATGTCTGTTACCAAATGACTGTTATTATAAATGAGTATGCATTACATGGTATGCACGAGTTCAAATGTTATTAAATTGCATTTCAAACGTCTTCACAAATGTCTTTATCGTAAGCCATGCAATTAGGATGATGCAATACCTAATCTCACAATCTTTAGTATTAAATCACCATGCAATTATAACAGTTTCACACCGACGACTCATTTAATGTTTCCTGAATTCCCAAGTTTACTTTGCACAGAAAGTTTTACACCCAAAACTTCCCTGTTCGAGTTAAACATGCAACCAAACAAGCTCTGACTCCAGAATAAAAACCAGGGTGTTTGTGTAACACACTGAGGTAAACACTGTTGAATATCTCTCAAAATAAGCACTGACTTCTTATTCTAAAAACATTCTGGAAGAAACAAATGCATGCAAAGGAACCAAAGGAGGCTGTAATGTGATCTGCTGCATTACAATTCAATAATTCATAAGATGAGGGGGTTGAAAACCAGATCTCCTCAACAGTTCTTTCTGTATGCTACATTTCCTACGGTGGCCGACAGGTGCTAACGCGCTACTAAACATTTCCATCAGGAGAAACGTGCTGCAGCTTCAGAAACGATGCAGATATTAAAAATCAAAGGTTCCACATGAAGAAACATCTTCATCAACAACACATGCAGCATTTAGAGAACATTCAGCAACTTGAGGAGACATGCGCAGCGTTTACTAAAAGCTGCAGAAACCAAACGCTGCAAGAAGCTCAAAACACAACGGAGACCAGGGGACACTAAAGAGTGACACACACAGCTGAGAGAACAGGGGACACTAAAGAGTGACGCACACAGCTGGGAGACCAGGGGACACTAACGAGTGACGCACACAGCTGAGAGACCAGGGGACACTAAAGAGTGACGCACACAGCTGGGAGACCAGGGGACACTAAAGAGTGACGCACACAGCTGGGAGACCAGGGGACACTAAAGAGTGACGCACACAGCTGGGAGACCAGGGGACACTAAAGAGTGATGCACACAGCTGGGAGACCAGGGGACACTAAAAAGTGACGCACACAGCTGGGAGACCAGGGGACACTAAAGAGTGATGCACACACACAGCTGGATACCAGGGGACACTAAAGAGTGACGCACACAGCTGGGAGACCAGGGGACACTAAAGAGTGACGCACACAGCTGGGAGACCAGGGGACACTAAAGAGTGACGCACACAGCTGGGAGACCAGGGGACACTAAAGAGTGATGCACACAGCTGGGAGACCAGGGGACACTAAAGAGTGACACACACAGCTGGAGACCAGGGGACACTAAAGAGTGACGCACACAGCTGGGAGACCAGGGGACACTAAAGAGTGACGCACACAGCTGGGAGACCAGGGGACACTAAAGAGTGACGCACACAGCTGGGAGACCAGGGGACACTAAAAAGTGACGCACACAGCTGGGAGACCAGGGGACACTAAAGAGTGACGCACACAGCTGGGAGAACAGGGGACACTAAAAAGTGACGCACACAGCTGAGAGAACAGGGGACACTAAAAAGTGACGCACACAGCTGGGAGGCCAGGAGACACTAAAGAGTGGCGCACACACAACTGGGAGACCAGGGGACACTAAAGAGTGACGCACACAGATGGGAGACCAGAAGGCGCCAAATGTAGTGCCAAGTTTTAGATGAATACATCATCTCAAATGGACTTGACTGGTCTCGTTGTGTGGGTGTGTGTTCAGATGGGGCAGTGGGGCTATGACAGGCAAAGAAAGCGGAGTGACAGCTTTGATCAGGCAGAAGGCGCCAAATGTAGTGGCAACGCACTGCATGTTACATCGGGGGCACTTGTGCACATCATTTAAAAAAAATTGCCACAGGGGGTCCCGCCAGAGGATAATGCTATATGGGGTGCCTGGCACGGCAACGTTTGGGAACCCCTGGGTTAAGGATAGTGGATAGGAGATTCAAAGGATTTAGGACAAGAGACTGCGGT